AAACAAAGGACTCGAACTATTGTTGCAGACCTCATTGATCTGACTAATGGGCGAACACAAACAAAGGAGGTTGTTGTGTCTTCTTGCGCGGCTTATACTATATTGTAATCGAATTTCTTACTGGCACGTTGAATTACATTGTAATAAATCAGAAATAGTATTAGTGCATGTTATACTAATTTTTTGATCACAGATGTTGTAATCAAGAACACATTAAGAATATAGTTAGTATTCATTATGTCTGTCTCTTATACACATCTAGATGTGTATAAGAGACAGATATAATATGAATATACAATATTGTCACCTAAGAAAAAAACGTATTACTGTGATAATAACATCAATCATCAACAAATTTGCCATTATCTTATCCAGGCAGCTTAATCGTCGTACGATCTATTCTGTTTGAGCCAATTGTATTTCTAATGTTTTGCCATGCTTTCCTAGTTTAGTTAAACCTAAAGTTATGCACCTGAGCGGGGGTTCAGGTGCAAAAATGTTAAGAATTAGAAACTTTTAGGCGCCGGAGAATGGCACATTAATTAATACATACAAATTACGAATATTAACATTTAAAAATAGACATTTTGAATTTCTTTTTTAAACTCTGACCCTGAGCACCCTCTGGATACGTCAAAGTAGATAAAGTAAAGTAAATACATCAAACACAATGTTTTTTAGTTTTATTTTCAATGGTACATCACACATATTAATTAGATCTCTATGGTTGCCGAAAATCGCTGATATAAGATCATGAGAAATTTTTTGCCGCTGCATTTTGATTATAATGGAGATGTGATCATGGAGGAATTATGCCTAGTTACTACCGTAAATCCTCCATGATGTGATGATGATGGTATTTACTATAAGAGTGTCATTTCCGGCCATCTAGAAGGTATTATTACCTCAAATTTTCGACCCTCAGCCCCAACTATTGTGGGGCTCACATGTGGGTGTGGACTCACGAAATTTCTATCCCCATTCCTAAACTTTGAAAACAGATCTATGCCTTTGCTGACTCCCACCATGCCTAAATTTGAACCCACATTCGCCCCTGCAATGCCTCCTTGATTTTAAGATGATGAGTAGATGGGGAAGATTCAAGAATACGGAAACAGCCCTCATTACAAGTTTGCATGCACTTGCGTGAATTCTGAAGGTGTTTAAATATGTGTGTGTTGAGAATTGACATAGCATGCAATTACACCAGAGCAAAACAAATTCATGAACACGTGAGCAGAGACCTGCAGGGACAGGATCTCCTCGCTGAAAACTTATTTTTAATTGTAAATGAAGAAAAACCAATTTAAATTCGAAATCATTACACAATATTGCTGGAAAGCCAACGAATTTTTCCGAGGCGACCTTAGGAAAGGGAAGGAACATGGAAAATTCTTGTTAGTCAACCAATAATTTTCGTACTGTTTGCGACGCTTCGATCCGTTATCAACGGATCTTAATCAGACAATTTATTTATATTTATTTATGAGATTTAGAGGAGTTGTTTTTAGTTGTGAGAAAAAATCCTGCTGTGATACTCGGAAATGGCACTCTCAAACTTCTTTTTGGAATTTATTTCTCAAAAAATGACGAAATTTACATCAGTTCTAAATTATGCTACATTATACTACATTTTCATGACATTATGCGTAGCATTAATGCCACATGCTACGGGGGTCCAAATTATGCCCAAAAACATAATTATTCTACAAATGGGGCACTATGGATGACTAGTTGTTGACATTTCCCCATGTAGTGGGCCGCCCTCTACCATTAGTTTCAGGGCTGTAAATATTCGAAAGTT